CTAACATTACTCTGGACCCATAGCAGTGTTTATTTCGCAAACTTAGATTGATCACTGACAACGTATTACACATCGAGGCGCAAATGCGTGATGGTTCCATCCAGAAACAATTTTTCCTTTCAGTATTCCTCGATATAGAAGGGCATACGAAACAACATGGCGCGTTGGCATCCTGCGAGACCTCTCGCACTAAGGTATCCGAGGTACTATGCTAACCATGATCGAACGACATTTGTCGAGTCGCACTTCTCGTGTCTGAGGGGTGAACGTTTTGTCTCTAACATTCTTCCAAGAGACTGAATTGCCACAAGTTGGTGTACTAAGTTGCACACTTTTTATTATAAAAATTCATAGCCTTTATTCCTACAATATTACGCAATATGTTTTTTGCATGCTTGTTGACCACGTACAGATAGGTTTTAAATCATGCAGCTTTGCAATATTCGAGCAACAAATTCAACATGGATTGAATAAGCCAACAAAGGAGGCTGAACAGAATGGCTTCAAGCTTAATCCACAAAAAAACACTTACGTTTTCTTCTCAAGTAAGATAGGTGTCTATCCACATCCGGACATTCACCTGCATGGTCAGTGACTACACTCTTAGTCAAATCCTGGCTAGAACACAAGTCAACAGGCATAAAATTAGGTCAAATTTTCGTCGCTTAAAGTTTGTTCGTTGCGTGGCTCTGTAGCCGCGTCCCAGAAGAAGCGGCCCTATTTGAAGGGGCCTTCATGATGGCCGGAACAATATTTAGCCGGGATTTTAAGTCGAATGTCTCCTGACCTGCGGTTACGCGTGACATTTCCGTAGACGGCCCAGCCCTGACATAGTTAGGAAAAAAAGTGTTATTTCACGCTTTCAAGAGCAGTTTCTCGCCAATAAAGTGGTGGATATTACAACTACAGGTAATTTGAAAACCTTTAGTATTGCAATCAACTGCATCTGCAAGATTAACCAGCAAAGCACCCTCAGCAATATAGTGTAACTCGCAATCGCAAGCCCATGAAAGTGACTTCTTACTGAGTTGCACACTTGTACTAAGCACCACACTGGCTACCGCATGAAGGTGATTTTTTTTTGCGGTGTATATATCTGCCAAGTGACTTTTTTGAGAGAGAATCGTCGGCAGAATCTTACTTTTTTGTGCCATAAGCATCTTTTTGTTCATGCATGTGATCAGAGAATAGTTTGTAGGGCTTCATTACCTCAAGACAACCACGGTGAGCGCTTTCGGATACGACTTTGGTTCGTGGTGCGGCATTCCACAAGAAATACTAGCGTTTTTTTTTTTTGCGTCCTTTTAGTGCTTCTCCGTGAACCACTTGTGTGTCGTTTGACCGAAAATTCCCGGATACCAGCGCGATGAGGCTGTGTTCAGCTGTCAAAATCTACGTATGTTTCTCGAACGCGCGTGTGCTGTGAGCAATTTCGCCTATTTGATTCGCGAAGTGCAAGCGTGCCAGTCACAGCAGCCTATTTCCAGCTGTTTGAACACAACGCGTTTTCTCAAGCAAGAGTATAGGACTTTCTTCATCATAAACGTTGTTTCAAGATATGCTTTCGACCAAAGATCAAAGCTTAGTTAGAATATTGTGATGTACAATGCAGTGTACTATTTCTTAGGCTGGTAATTTTGTACGTTGCTTATTATTCTGTGAAAGAAGCGAAGTATAGTTTGGTGGTCGCTTGAACAAAATGTGAACACTCCAGCTAAAACACAAGGCAACTCATGATTCGTGGCACGGTGATATAGCAACGTATCACTCTCAATAGTTATTCTTGTTGGTGACTGGATTACTATAAATCAGTCAAGCCATCAATGATGTCAAGAAATAAACGTCGTGGGAAACTGTTTTTCGGAAGTTCGATTACAAATCTTCAGCTAAAACAGCAGACGTATTGAGGGTAGCTGCACAATCAAGGTCACGCACAAACTGAACAACTTTGGCAGTTTCACTTTATGTGGGGCAATAACCACAAGCAACCAAGGTTCCAAAACATTTAGCATTGATTCATTCAATATTGTATACAAACGGAAGACAACCCTGAAAAAACCTCGTACTAAAGATTTCTTTAGAAAGCAATGCAAGGACACCACCTTTACGCCTTTCTCTAAATACCCCCTCATATTTGTGTCCCGGAAATCACACTCAGTGGCACTTGTGAGCCATATTGCCGTGTAAGCGAGTATATCAAGTCTGCGATTCAAAGAATGCAAAGCTGCCTGTATATCGAAACCCTTATTGTCATGCTTCTACCATTGACGTGAAAAACTCATATCTTGTCAGTTTCACGAACCAGAAAACTCCGCACAGCCTATGAAAAGATGAAGCATCGTAGCGAGATTGCGTGTTTTGAGACTCCTTGAAAAGAAAAGGAAGGCGAAGCTTATAAGCAAGACAAAGAACAACGATGCCGTTTTGAATTATTCTATGTCGGCATCATCTCATACATGTATTGCCGACTAACGGCTCCACTTGCGCACAAACAGCTTACCATTGCTGTGTAATGCAAAGTCATACTTCTTTTCTGTGGCCATTTCTCTCATCATCCACGTAAGTTTTTTTATCTGCGATGGTAAAAACCGAGGAAAGTACACTGTTGGCATAGACTGGGGCATATTGTGCCTCTTTTTCTCCACTGAATATTCATTACACGCGAGAAAACTGAACCAGTATTGCTGGGGTTTAGCCACGTTTAGTTAGAAGTCTATGAATGAGAGCTCCAGTCCTATACGATTGCGTTGTTCTTTGAAATATATTCTTGTTTTAACCTGCACAAGACCATGTACTTCCACGTTATTTCTTTGCATATACTGTTTGACGCTGTCTATTTGCTGTCGTAATTTCACAAATGCCCGGTCTGCGTTCGTCGTCTCAATATTTTCAAATCTTTTTTTAAGCAAGAATTTTTGTTGACCTAAGCTTCATAATTCCTAGTATTTTTTCACGCTGATCTAAAATATACTGAATAGACTTCTCCATACTTTCCACGCTTTGTTTGAGCTGCAAACGGTCATCTAGCTTCTGTTTGATTTCGGGCATTTTCGTAGGCTTTTTGTTCATTTCCATGATCATCTTTTGAGCGAGCGTCTGTTCGTTTTGTGCTTGCGTCCTCACTCTTCGAGGGCTTCGAACAGCTAAACATACGCATTTTTGGCATTTCCAGCTTTACTTGAAGTGTCTGCCATTTCTTTGTAGTTTGCCTTACTCGTAGAAGAACAGGCGCACAAATTATAATTACAACTGCATATCAACAGATAAGGCAAGAGCCATTTCTTGAAAGTGACTGATCCCACACCAGGCATGAATTGAAAGTATTATTAGCGTTTCTCTCTTAAAGGGGTTTGAAAGCAACAGTAAGGACTGAAAGGCAGGCACGAACACCTGCGCCTGCGCACATAAGATTCACTGGTAATGTTATAACTAGAATCACTCAGCAGCATTGACTTCCAACGTATATTTATATCATCATCATCAACATCAGCCTGGCTACGTCCACTGCAGGACAAAGTCCTCTCCCCTGTTCCGCCAGTTAACTCGAACTCGGTCCTGTGCTTGCTGCTGCCAATTTATACAAGCAGATGACACCGCACCAGTAATGATAGAAAAAGTCAGAAAAGCTTTAGAGAGCATGTAAAGAGGAAAAGCTGCTGGTGAGGATCAGGTATCATCAGATCTGCAGAAAGAGGGAGGACAGATTGTGATAGAAAATCTTGCCACCCTGCTTACGAGGTGTCTCTTGACGGAAAGAGTACCAGAGTCTTGGAAGAATACTAACTTCATCTTAATCCATAAGAAAGGACATGACAAAGACTTGAAGAAATACAGGCCGATCAGCTTGTCCTCCATAGTATGCAAGCAATTTACAAAGATATTTGGTAATAGAGTTAAAGAAACATTAGAACTCAATCAACAAAAGGAACAAGCAGGATTTCAAACAGGCTACTCAACAATTCACCACATTCATACCATCAATCAAGCAATAGAGAAAAGCTCGGAATACAGCCAATCGCTATACATTGCCCTCATTTAATACAAGAAGGCGTTTTATTCAGTAGAATTATCAGCAGTCATGCAAACACTGCGGAATCAGAGCGTCGATGAAGCATACATAAAAATCCTGGAAAAATTCTACAGGGGATCAAATGCTTTCATAGCGCTTCATAACGTAAGCAACAGAATACCAATCAATAAGGGCGCAAGGCACGGAGATACAGTGTCCCCGATGCTATTTACCGGATGCTTACGGGAGGTTTTCAGAGGCCTAGATTGGGAACAGTTAGGTATAAGAGTTAATGGAGTGTACCTAATAACCTGCACTTAGCTGATGACATTGCACTGCTAAGTAACCCAGGGGACAAATTGCAACTCATGATTACGGAGTTAGACAACGAGAGCAGCAAGGTGGGTTTTAAAATAATCTGCAGAAAATGACGAAAGTAGTGTATATTGTATATATGTACCAAAAGCAAAAGTAAAAACGTAAAGAAGACCTACCTGTGTAGTGAAAGATTTCTTAGTCACTTGAAAAGAATCTCAGTGGTGCCACTGCCGCTTGGTGTGTGTAGATCCTTCGGCGGTACAGCGTGCTTTTATGTCTTGTCTGTGACGTAAAGACCATGTCAGCTTCAGGGCCATTGACTGTCCACCTTTGCGCTGGGGAATTATTGCGGCAGTTTCCATTGGAGGTTAATTTGCAAACCAAACAAGAACCAGAAAAGTAAGACATTTAGTTATGGCACTGAAGCGTTGTTCAATAATAAGCAAGACGAATTGATTTGAGGTGTTAAGCAGAGAAGAATGTTCGTTTTGCCGCGCATATTCATTGAAGCCGTTACAATTTTTGTTTTTGCGTTCAACGTATTTAACACCATCTCCTGGTGATGATATGCCGCATGCATTTACGTGCCTAGATGAGCAGGCCTGACAGTTGTTATCTGTTTCGTTGCACTTCAAGGTGAGAGATGCAGTAACATAGCTTCTTTCTTCGGCAGCCGGGGAAAGATACGGCTGCCAACGTGGAGGGGGAAAGTGCAAGGAGAAGGATAAAGGATGCGGTGAAAGGGATCCTTTACCGGACACGTGCCCTGAGAACAGAGTTTGCTGCAAGTTTTAATAAAGCACTAACCACCCCACAATGCCCAGAGCACTCTGAAGTGAATGATCTATTTTCGTTTGGAATAAACTTATTTCGGATTGTCATCTATTCGTGTTAAATGCAGATATTAAAGTTGCAATGCACGTTGAACCACTGGCAATATTTTGCAGGAACAGTTGGTTAGTGTGGCAGTGTGTAAACATTAGTGATTCATTTTTCAATGAAATATTCTGATATTATGACAAAAACGCTAACGTATATGGCAGTAAAATAGGCGTGCAATTTGTCCATAGACTTAACTAGCGTTTGCATATTAGGAGAAGAGCTGCATTGCATTCTCTATCCTACCAGTAATCCCATGTATTGTAGTCAAATGGCATTCATTGAAACATCCTAAGGTAACGCCAATAGTTTCATCAAAAAGAGGCATGGATTTTGTCTATGGCCTTGAAAAACAATTATTAGAGTGAAGCTTTCGTACGAGATAACTAAGATCTAAATGCACGCTCAGAAGAAAATCTTGCAGATAAAAACAAATAATGTGAAGACCACGGTGAAGGCACGTTTTTTCACGAGCACGAGCCTGTACTTGTCCTTTTCTGCTCGAATTTTCCAGAACCATTAAGAGCAAGCATATAGTTGACATAACGATTAAAATATCTGTGCGCTATCAATTTACCGATGGCGGCACTGATACCTAAGGAAACATTTTGAGGTTTATAGAAGTATTTGTAAATGTAAATATGTGGTTTTCAATCACGCGCTTTACCCAAGAGAACAGAATCGTCCCCAAGCCTGCACTAATCCACGCAAAGCTTAATGCAAAGCGAAGTTCACCAGCATCATACTTTTTTATTACTGGATTATGCTGAACTTCGTTGTGGCAAGGCCGAACTTGGCTTGAAATTCGCTGTTAAGAAATTGAGCTTGGAAGAACTTGTACGTAGTCAGGTTGAACTTACCATGATCCTAGCTGTAGCGTTTGTTACAGCTCAAGTGTTGAACGAAGTTATGACCAGATGTTACCAGAGAATATATGAGGCCTTGTATATAATTTACACAAGAAGACAGGTAGGTGTGTAAGTGTGCCTTCAACCTTACTAATCAAAATTCGTTTCATGGAAGGTGCGTGCCTGAAGTGTTGCTTGGCGTAGGTAGCTGGTATGAACGGTAGAATAAGGATGGTACTATCAATTTAGATTTTTTAAATCTTCAATTTGTGTATCACGTTCCAGAGCAAAATTCGAGGTTGACGTGTAGCAGCTGTACTGTGTGCACGTTTCTCTTTCTTGTTCTGGTCCGTAATAATATTTATTTCAGTCAAAATTAACTGACCTAAATTTCAGAATCAGCTGTAAAACTTCATAATTGAATGGGCCCTTCTCTTTTTCCCCTTTTGGTTTCATTCTTTTTGTAACCGACGTTAAACTTGTCGCTAATGCAAGCTATCGGATGCGAGTGCTATTTTGCCCTAATCAATGAATTTGTACTTCCTAAGGTGCAAGCATTTTTCATTCCCTGTACTGCACCAATGCGCCACGCAAGAAAAGTTGCCGGCTTCCTCGGGTCAGGATTTCAGTGTAAGATTTTGTTAAGGGGAGAACGAAGAAGTTGAGAGCAAGACAGGCGACTTGATGGCGAAGGAGGGTGGTGTAGTTGTGGAGGCGTCGATGGTGTAGCAGCATTATTATCGTGGATGGGCAGTTGGGAACTAACAGGAGAACGCAAATTGTTGAAATATTTGCACCAGGGTTGCGAGTTCCAGGAACTACGGCAGTGTCAGGAAATGTGGCTGACGCGTCCACAACAGAGGCAAATGAGCCTGTCGTCAGAAATTGGCCATTCCGCCGGGTTCCGGTACCGAGGATGGTCGTACGTGTTTCGGAGCTGATCAGGAAGACAGGGTGGACGGTAGTATGGTTTGTTCATGGGGCATAGCATCTAGAGTCCGACGGTAGCGAGCTCCTGGCGTACGACGGTCTGTATTAAAGAGATCGTGTTGAAATAATCGTGGCCATGACATTGAATGGGGACTAGAGTTGGGGCCTCAATTTCACGGCGGACGAGGCGTTCTCGTCTGCAGCTCGTGGTTCTTAAACCACGAGCTTCAGACTGAGTTCTCTCGTGGTTCCAAAACCAATTTTTTGCCGCGCCCGCAAGGTAAGCTTGAACATTGGCCAACTTGAGCATCGTTCTGCCTGGCCGCGGAACTTTGTGAATATCACTGGTTTGTTCAGGGGAACTCCATAGTTGCGTCGTGTGCTCGAAAAAAAGGTAAAGCGACCAAAAGTGTGAAATCAGGGTAGGTTGCTTCACTGAGCAGTTTTACTGAATTGTGAATATGGCGCCTCTTTCCTTCCAACTATTTTGGACGGTTTTGAACGCGGCGCTACACCCGAAATCGCAACAAAATACCAACTAGCCTGCAGTGACCCCATTGTTTAATTACTACTTGACTTAGTTATCGTAACGAGCTGTAGCCCTAAGCGCTGCGGGGAGCCTACTGAAAATCTAGTACGTCTAGTTTCTATATCTAGGAAAGTATATCAGCAAACACGGTGTGCAGACAAAACAGATGTACTTGGGAAGGTCTTGATTTCCCGGTGTCTAGGAAAGCTGTTTGCAAAAGGAAGCCGCTGAGTGTTAAGAAAGCTATTATTTCCTGTGGGATTGATAACAAGTCTTGTTGACATCTGATAATGTGCAAAGATTTGTGTTAAGGCCTGTCGGGCACTTCAAGTGGCAGAGAGGGTGAAGCGAGTGAGAGCTAACACGCAGCGAACGGAAAGCAGGCGAGGGATAAAGACGTCACCGCGCACTGCTAGGAAGGCGTGAGGTTCTTGGCACCGCTCCAACACCTACTGCCAGGGGAACGTTGCGAACGGACGGACAGCGTTACACAGGTTAGTCAGGAACCTGTTTCGCATCCAAGTGAAGTTGGATTCTTAGAAGAGGCATGCGTGACGCGTACCTTGGCTTGTGTTTTTGCATGGACGGCCATAATGTGACGTTCCTGTCAGTATAGCTTTTTTGCGTGTTGTTTGCCACGTGTTCAGAGTAACATTTTCAGTGAAAATCTCGTCGTCATCTCGTGTTTATTTTTAACTGTAGTTGCTTTGCTCCGCAATATTTTGTACTTGAGTCAAAACTAACTTGACCACATTTCAGCTTCAATTCACTGTAGCAGGGTTGGCTGTTGTGAGCTTGCAGCAAGTCTAGTCGCCATCTTTGCCATATTCTTTGTGTTATCTACCCGTGATGACTGTCCTTGACAAGAACTGCGAATTTCTGATGATGGCTCAAACGCCTCGGAGCCATTCGCTTTCCCTATGCAGAAGCTGCTCGTCACGATTCTCTTCATAATATTGTACATTCTGGTATCAAGCTCTACTTTGTCGTGTGCAGTGAACCAGTGCTGAGTAGCTGGATGTACTCAAATTTTAAGATGATCATTGTTTCGTGATACAATTTATCTGGCAAACTGCCAGATAATTAAGTGAAATGAACCAGATACATACGCGTTATTGCGCAAGTTGTAATAACAAGAAATATAAAAAACGCCATTTATATCTATAAAAGAAACTATTACCAGTGGAAAAGCTTTTATGCTAAGCAGCTTAAGGCAGACATCACCAGTGAAAAAGCTCTTATGCTGAACCGTTCAAGGCAAACATCAACAAGCCAAATTTATGTTAAAGGCAAAGTGGCGTGATCTGCCAACAAAAAAGTGGCATATTTTTCCTAATGTTTCATTCATAAATAAATTACTCATGACATCCCTGTTGACTCACGCGAAAGAGCCTTTTTTACGAATAATTGAGGCCTATGGGGTGGTAGGAGTGAGCAACAGCCACGGGGACTGGCTCGCAGTTCTTCTGTTACCTTCAATGTAGCCAAACGTACAGATCTGGTATCCCCTTCGTCTTCTACACCTCGTTGTGGTGTCACAAGCCAGGACAAAACCAGGGACCTGCAGTTTATACTGTAAGTTTTCTCCAACTAGTTCGCCAACAACGCCAAACACTGCCTTCATTCTAACCTATAAACTCGAAAGCTTCAAGACTCCACAGCTGCAACACTAAATTCTGCCCGCTGTAGCCGATACCCGCTGCAGTCTACCGCACTCGAATTAAATGCGACAAAGAACATTCGGAGGACGCGTCCGCAATAACTGCTACTTTCAGTGACTGGAAATATCTCGAAGCCATTGCGTGGGGCCGTCATCATTCCAGGTGAGTCGCGGCACCATTTGTATCACAAATAGAAATAATAGGGCTGCTTGATGCTTTATTTATATGTTGGGTTTAACGTCCCAAAACCACCATATGATATAAGATGCACCGTAGTGAAGGGCACTAAAAATTTTAGCCCCCTGGAATACTTTAACGTGCGCCCTAATTGAAGCACACGGGCATACAACATTTTCGCTTCCATTGAAAATACCAGAACATTGACTAAGTCGCGAAAGTTGATAGGCAATTAGCGTCGCACTATCCTATAAAAAACTTTACATTGGATACCTGCCACTGCGGATTACAAGGCAACGTTTAGGCTGATGACGATGCGCAAGCTGGACATGACACTTCAGCAGAAATTATCGGGATACATTTCTCGATGCAAGACGCAGCAACGCTAGTGTCGGCACACGCCTGGTTCTTCCAACGATCCCTCAGGACAGACCCTAGCCAACAGTATGGGCCTCTGTACAAGATATAACCAGCGCGTGACTTCAGGAAGCCACGAAATCTCAACAGGCAAGATTAAACGTGTATACACAGCATTCGATTAAACATTGCATATACGAAAAACTTCAGGAAGAAAATTGTACTGCCTGACTCAGCATTTTGTGCCCAATGTAACGTCGTTGAAGACATCAATCAAGTCCTCTGTAAGTGTACGAAATACTCATCAGAGAGACAGTCTCTGAAGATGGGTTTAAAAATTAAACAAGACACAAATTTGGAGTTAAAAAATACTCTAGGCCCATGGCAGAACACCTCCATTGTGTTAGACTCTACAAAAGCGCAACTCACGTTCTTACGGGCCACAGGATTGAACAAAACGTTGGAAATAGTGCAGTGAGTGTACGTAACTTTATGTGTTA